TGCCACCAGACTCCTTGTTGTTTTTGTAGATACAGACTAACACGGCTACCCCCTGATACTTGACAGCATGTTGACCAGACTACACGCCTACCCCAGGCCTCACCCATCCTTCCTTTTTGTTGGAATTATTTATGCAGGATATTGTCATGACACTGATTTAACCATAAATTCCTTTATTGAATCCAAAGGCCAAATGGTATTTATACAATTGCTCTAAACATGCCTACAAAGCCTAAATAATAAGCAATTTACCACATCCAGACAATAACAAAACATTTATAAGCATTTGATCATGATACTTACAAATGAGCTAAACCCCAGGGGTACTTAGACCCACATTGGTTGGCTCCAACGTGGCCAGGCAGTTATTAGCAATTAATTCATTGAGTTAACTTTTTTCTACCCTTTAACAAATAAGTGATGTCTGTGCCAGGTATTGACTTCAGCTAAAAAAACAATTGGAGACAGGTCACCCTTATTCCCAGTCTTAATCCAGATAAGATTACAAGCTTCTTTCTACTCTAGGTCTTTCCTCTCTATCTGTCCCCTCCTTCCTGCTGTCCAACAGTTTTTCCTTTGGACCGGGGTTCACATGGGCCCTAATTTTTGCAATAACACTGGTGTGTGGGGTGGGAAGGGCCATGTTGGCTCACTGTAAAACAGATTTTCTTTGTCTGATTTAAAACCATCTGCAGTTACCCGTATTAGTCCGAGGCCTTCTCTTCAGAAATGTCTCCTTATTTCATTAGTTATTCTTTGAACCAGAGATGCTCCCTACTTCATGCCTTCTGGCCCTATAACTAATTACTTTCAAGGCCATTCTTTACCACACATATTTCTTTAGCCAAACGTAAGCTAACTTGAATTCTCTATTTTTTTTATTTATTCTACATTCCCCACTTCGAAACCCTACATACTATGTGGGTTTTACTCCATTAAGCATTTCAAAATACTTCTACAATTTTATACAACTGCCAAGCTTTGCAATATAGAATTAACAGAATAATCACCATAATAACACTAGTAATTACCAAAATATTAAATGACCACCATTACTATACGGATGTAGTCCCACATTATAAGCTTGCTCTGCCATTACCAGCATAGTTGCTTCACCAACTTCCCAACAGCATCTCAGCTGTACTGTGCAATTTGGAGATTGCTCCCCCAGAGTGAATTTACATGCTGGCAACTGTCAGTAAGACATGACACCTGCCCATGTAAGTGTCCTCCAGATGCAAACAGCAGTCCAGGTCTGGGGCTTTCCAGACCTTGTAATTGCCATGCAACACCATATGTGTTGTAGAGCTTTCCAGTACTTCCACTGGTAACTCTGGCCAAGGCTTTTTTCCCCCACAAACTTCATGGTATTGGACTCTTGTTCCTTTCTTACCCTGCACCAATGAGGATTACCTCCCTTGTACCTAACATTTAGTTTTCTGTGGTCATAAAAGAGGGCAACCTTCTTTGTTCTGTCATTTAAGGATGCTTTTACTTTATATAGCATGTATTTACAATGTACTATGCATGTTATTGCTTTTGCTTTTTACCTTTCATGATAGCAACTTAATTTTACCTTGTGCATTTCCAAAAAAAAAAAATACGTCATGCTTATAAAACAATTCAATGCTTTTTATCAATAAATTCTTTGCTTTGTTCATTTTTAAGATACAATAAAATGTTAGCTAGATGCTAACTCTTGTTGAAAACACTCCCTCATTTAATCATAGAACTGGAAGGGACCTTGAGAGGTCATCTAGTCCGGTCCCCTGCACTCGTGGCAGGACTAATTATCTAGACCATTCCTGACAGGTGTCTGTCTAACCTGCTCTTAAAAATCTCCAATGATGGAGATTCCACAACCTCCTTAGGCAATTTATTCCAGTGTTTAACCACCCTAACAGTTAGGAAGTTTGTCCTAATGTCAAACCTAAACCTCACATGCTGCAATTTAAACCCAATGCTTCTTGCCCTATCTTCAGAGATTAAGAAAAACACATTTTCTTCCTCCTTGTAACCACCTTGTATGTACTTGAAAACTGTTATCATGTCCCCTCTCAGTCTTCTCTTTTCCAGACTAAACAAACCCCATTTTTTCAATCTTCCCTCATAGGTCCTGTTTTCTAGATCTTTAATCATTTTTGTTGCTCTTCTCTGTACTTTCACCAATTTGTCCACATTCTTCCTGAAATGTGGTGCCCAGAACTGGACACAATACTTCAGTTGAGGCCTAATCAGCACAGAGTAGAGCAGAAGAATAACTTCTCGTGCCTTGCTTACAACACTCCTGCTAATACATCCCAGAATGCTCTTTGCTTTTTTTTTTTTTTTTTTTGCAACAGCGTTACACTGTTGACTCATATTTAGCTTGTGGTCCACTATGACCCTCAGATCCCTTTCCGCAGTACTCCTTCCTAGGCAGTCATTTCCCATTTTGTATGTGTGCAACTGATTGTTCCTTCCTAAATGGATGCAATCCTTCTGCGGCTAGCTTCTGTTAAAATGCTTGGAGTATGTCAGCTTGGTTTCAATGTGACATACCAGTCCCAAATAGTTTAGCTTCTATGCCAATTTTTGGCAGGTTTAAGCATTTTAAAGTTTAAATCTTTGTCCATAAAGTCCTTTTGATGGTATTTAACCATTTTTGACCAAATTACAGAGACTGCAAATGAGTGAAATTCAATAAAGTTGGTGCATGAATAAGCTAACCATTATTATACAGTATCTCCTTAATGGATTTAACCCTAAACCATTATTTGGATTTGTTTTAATTTTAAGGGATTTTAATCTTGTATTCAATTAGCTTTAGTAGAAATATTCTTTTTCCATTTATAAAACACTGCCATGTAGGTTTTCACTCCCTTAATAATATTTACTTTACACCACAGTTAAACAAAACTTTTGGACAGATTTTTAATGGTTAAGCTCAGTTTCTTATATTCACTGATCTTCCTTGGTTCTGGGTTGGCTTCTGTTTCCAAAGTACACAGGCATCTGAAAAAGAAAACACAACCTATTCTGGCTCCTCTTTGGAGCTTTTATAGGATTTTATTGAAATAAATCATTTATGTTTCTTTTATCCCTTTTACAGTATACATTGCATATTCCATGGGGAAATGCACGTTCCTTCCATACTTTAACTTCAATTTTTTATTTGCTATAACATTATATTAGCCATATATGAATTTTCATGTGAAGTGTAACGGTTTTGTGTTTACAGAATTTCCATGTACTCTTATCAAAGTGACTGATTACTCAGAGCCACCTTAAGGCTCCCTGTTCCTACATTGTTTCTCTTGTACTCCTTTCTGCTGCTGTTGCCCCAGAGGTGCACTGTCTCTTCATTCTTCCCCTGCAGTTCTTTTACCTGCTGTTTTATTACTGCAATAGGATCAGGGTGTCTCCCCACTAGCCAGGTTCTGGCCACCCCTACCACATCCTCTAGCCCTTATTTAAAAGGATCTTTAACTTTATAAAAGCATTGAGGTATCCAAAGGTTTAAATGCTAAATAGCAAAGCCAAATAACACTAGCTTCGTTAACACACCTGTGTTTTGGCAAAAAAAAATGTTTGTTTTGCAACTTTGAATGAAAGATTCAAACAGATTTTTAGTGAAATCTTTTAAAAACCAACTCATTTTAAACCATACAAAATAGGGTTCTACAAACCAGGAGTGTTGGTTTAAGGCCTTAAAAGCTTACATAATTACACAAATTTATTTCCATTTTTTAAAAAACATTTTTGCTTAACTCTCCTTGCACTGCTCTAATTATTTTTACACAACCGTACCCCAATTACATTCCCTACTGGTAAATTTGGAGGCAGTCGAGTTCCAGTGGAACCCCCTTATTTCTATTTAGTGATTTTGACTAAATTGTCCATAGTCAAATTATTCAAATCAGATTGTCTCTGCCTGCAGCAGTCATGTATAATTGATTATTTACAGACTATTCGTTGGGAAAGGGGCACGTTTTCCTTCAGAATGGTTGTAAAGGCTTCTGGGGACACAAGCATAGGGGTGGTAGTCCTCACCACCTATGCAGAGTTAATTTGTGCAACAATTCCTTTTAACTCCTTGCTCTCTTTCCTTAAATCACGTACTTATCTCCTAAAGTGACACATTTATCAGATGATTTCTTGGTTGCTAGCTTATCTTTGTGCTTTTTTGTACCCATTCTTTAGCTACAACTACCGTTCTCTCCATGGTCTCCCGTGGGTATTACTCTTTGAAATTCCAGTGGCAGTCAATGGATCTCTGCCATGCCATGCCAATAATTTATCTATTTACGGCATTCAACAGACCTTTGTTGTGCTCTGCCAGGAATGTATTTGTGGCCTTCATAAGAACATAAGAATGGCCATACTGGGACAGACCATTGGTCCACCTAGCCCAGTACCCTATCTTCCAACAGTGGCCGGTGATAGATGTTTCAGATGGAAGGAACAGAAAAGGGCAATTTACTGAGTGATCCATCTCCTGTTGTCCAGTCCCAGCTTCTGGCAGTCAGACGTTTCATGAGCATAGCATTGCGTCTCTGACCGTTTTGGTTAATAGCCATTGTTGGACCTTATCCTCCATGAGCTTATCTAATTTTTTTTTTTTTAACCTGCTTTACTTTTGGCCTTTGCAGCATTCCCTGGCAATGAGTTCCGCAGGCTGTCTGTGCATTGTGTGAAGAATGGATCCCTGCTGTGCTCTGCCAAGCATTCTTTCACATAGGTATCCAAAGTCCGGCGCGGCTCTGGCCCGGCAGTGTGGCTCCGGTGCGGCTCCAGCCCCACCCTGGCTCCAAACGGCGTGGCTGCAGCCCTGGCCTGGCTCAAGCACCGCCAGCCATCTCCAGGCAGCGCGGTCAGGGAGCAGGGAGGGGGTATTGGATAGAGGGCAGGGGAGTTCGGGATGGTGGTGGTGGGTGGATAGGGGTCAGGGCGGTCAGAGGGCAGGGAACAGGGGGATTGAATGGGGGCAAGGGTCCGGAGGGGGGCAGTCAGGAAGGAGCAGGGGTTGGATGGGGCGGCGGGGGGGAGTCAGGGGACAGGGAAGGGGGGGGGGTGGGGCAGGGGGCCCGGGGGGG